TATATATATATATATATACTGTATGCACTGTGTGTTATCTGGCCTGCTACCGTTGGTGGTCCTTACGAAAATTGACGTTTTGTTGCTTGGTAATTTTCTTCGTGATATTTTTACCTTCTGCGTTCGATAAATATGTTAGGTGCGCCCATCACCATTACCAACCACACCAAGTGTGTCATTTCAGAAAACATTTTAAGTGTTTTTGAACAGTAGATAGGCAGCATATAGGCAGCAGGTCTGAATATATATGATACAAAGGCTAATTAAAAATACCTAGCGCGATTCGGCGTACACACAACATACAAAATTGTCATTCATGCTAAATGACAAAAGATTCAAGGTTCAGACTTTACTCGAAACTTTTGCTAGCTACATTATTATCAGTTACAGCATGGTTGCAGCAAGTTGTCGCATCCTGTTTCGCACACAAACAGCAGACCGTTGTGTACTCTAGCGCAGAGTATGCCCGCAAAGTAAATTGAGACGACGGCTCTTTACAGACACAAAGTAGTGCACCATTGGTGAACAATTGACGGAAGGTTACTGTTACTTTGTACTACCGTTTACTTTGTACAACCGACAGACCGGCTAACCCAAATGGCGAATACTACACATGCTTATACGCGAATGCGAACTCAACTAATGCATAAAGCTCCAGGTACGGAGCGGTAGCTCAGCCAATTCACCACTGTCAATATATGCGCATAAATGAAGGAAAGTGGATCGGCCGGTTTTATCCCGTCTGCAATAACACCTTATTATATCAATGCTATCAAACGAGGTCACGCGTATAAAGGGGTCCATGATAAGTTCAGTTGCTTTGCCATATTTGTGCACGTAGGCTAGCTCTATATAACTACTCTAAGACATCGGTGTACTCACTACGTGATTGGTTGGTAGAGGCGATATGTTGGAAAGCTCTGATCAAATACACGCGATGTGTGTATATCAGCGCAGTTGCCCGCCGACTCTGGGCTCACACCAACGAATTAAGAAGCGGCGATACGTCGTGCGAGCTAGACGAACCTGCAATGGCTGTTTCTCTGAGGCGTGTGTTCGCGGCTGGTGTGGTTTTCCTCCTGCTGGCCTACTATCAGTTCGTCTATAACGTGTTTAACCTTGAGCACAATCTAGGCTTCTTTAGTAGACTATGGTCCGGTGAGTACTAGTTGCATTACTGTGACAGGATGACAATAATGGAGATAGATGGTTCATGGATGAAGTAAAAAATGCCGTTGCGACTGCAAGGGGGGACATTCGCGGATAGAGGTTACACCTGATCGATTACCGGTATAGATGGGGTTTTATAGGATCATTGTTAGCGTTACAGAGATAGGCTTGGCGCCACGGTTAATGCTGGAGTTAAAGTTATAAGCTGTGGAAGTCGTAGGACTAATGAAGGATCTAGGAGTCAGATTGATGGTCATTGGGGTAAATCATATTTAACTTTGCTAACATGCCACATAGTTGCCAAGTTCTGTATTACTTTGATTATCTTTCTCTTGATAAACGTTGACAATATCAGTTACTATATAAATATGATAAGTGCAATAAATTTTGAACTTTTATGAGATCTACAATTATCTGCATGCCTCTCATTTTATACGTGACACCGCAAATGTTACGAGAACATGACAAGACAACAGCCTGACCTGACATGGATCTATGATGTAGAGAGTATTTTAGGCTTGCGCATATGTACGCACACGTATGCTTCCCTCCGTGTGTACGTGTGTCGGTGTGTATATGTGCAAGCGCATATATGTGCGTGCGTGTGTGTGTGTGTGTGTGTGTGTGTGTGTGTGTGTGTGTGTTGTGTGTGTGTGTGTGTGTGTGTGTGTGTGTGTGTGTGTGTGTGTGTGTAGCTCCGCAGATCAGTACAAAGGCTCTCTTTAATTCTTGGCACCGGTTCCACTCTCTATCTCTTTTTTTGCTGAGTACTAAGCGTAGAATGCAGTGTGTACGATTTTTCAAGTCTTGTATCTAATCAGTAAGTCACGCGAATGCTCTACAGTGACGACACTATGCGCGGGTGACAAGTCGACTTTAATAATGAAAATCATTAAAGCAAGCTCGTATTAGAGTGAAGATGTATAAGTTGACATAACGCCATGAAAATTTCGGCTAAGGAGCGGGTGAATAGCGATCTTTGAATAAGGTATGATCGTCGGTTCAGTCTGCGCCCCGCTGTTTGTAATGCAGCGTCTTCTGCTCGTGGAGTATGCGCACTAAGCGTGCATATTGAAGCTATTTGTTCTATACAACCATCAGCCGCAGCAAAATTCCAGGCGGACCTTGATACTTGTGTTTGGGATGGTTCGTACTAATAGGTATATATAAGGAGAGAGAGAGGAGATTACGAGGGCCAGGAGAGCAATCAGGATACAAAGGAAGAATACAATCGAACTGTCATATCAATATAGTGTTATATATTATATATATTATTATATATATAGTATATT